ACAGAAAGTGAAACAGTCTATTCTAAGATTATTAAATACATTAAGTACGATATTTTTTTCTTCTAAAGATAATGCTTTATGTCCACTAGGTCGTTTATGCGTACTTGTGTTTGCAATATTTTCTAATGCACTCGCCATTCTTATAATAACTGTAAAATTAAAATATATACTAATACAAAATACTAAATATTTTTGCATCTCCCTACGAGACGCCAGTGTGGTAGAACATTTTAATTCCAATAATGGATATTTTAGCTTATGTCAATAGTTAGATAATCATAGAAGATCCCATTGATGTGATATATTTCGCGAAGTCATACGATAAATAATTATCAGTTGACACTTATTTGATAAATACTGCAATCTTTCTAATTATCGATATCGGTATCAGAGAAATCAAGTGAACTAGAGGTCAATGTTGTACGCTAAAAATAAATTGGAAAAAAGTAGGTATAGTTATAAAAAGAAAAGTATTTAGGTCATTGTCTTTTCAGGATTCGTTGCTTAAAGCTGGATTGTTATTGGTTACAGAAATGTATATACATGTTGACCAAGATAAGATGAAACAATACATTCGTGCCGTAAAAATATCGCTGAGTTCACATTGTTGCCAAAGTGATTCGATTATAATAGTATTTAATGATGAATACAGACCAACATGATTAAAAAAGAAACATCCCATATTTGTAAATTGTATTAAACCCGAGATTAAACCACATGAATGAAAAGTACACAAGACAATATTCAAATATCAGATCTCTTCTGTCAAAAATAATGTTTTTTATTTAAAACTTTTAATAATATCACCTATTAAAAACGAGAAAAATGCTTCAATGCGTTTTTTTTGCGACCTGCAAACAATATTTAAAAAAAATTAAAAACGTATAATATGTCAAATTCAATGACAGAATGGTTTGTTTTTGGTTTAAGTTAACTGTCAGTAAAACACAAATTACGTTACACTAATATAGCATATTGTTTTGACAATGTGAAGGCCAGTCTATCTTAGATAATATAAAAGCAATATTAAGAAATAACATTCACTACATTTTAACAATAATTATTAGTATTCCTTTAATTATACCAAAAACACGATCAAAAATACGCAAGGGAAAATTGTTAAAACTTAAACAACCAGAACCGAGGTAACACTAATTCCCGTACTTATTTGGTCTAACACTGACGGACGACCAAGGCGGCGATAGCATTTTTATTGTTCAATGTCATGTTCAATGAATCAGAATTTATGTAACCTTTCGACTGACCTCTGATTAACTTGACACAAAAATAAACGCTTGGCACATATGTTACTGATGGGCTTCTCCTCTCTAATAAAATGCAATAATTGAACTCCTTTTGTTGCTATAAAATTATTTAAAATTACAATAATTTTCGCGTATGTACGTAAATCCATTCACGATTCTAACTAGATCTCAAAAGCCAACGAAAAAATTATAAAGCGTACTTTTATCTAAAAAAAAAGTCTGCTTTTCCACCAATTTACAAACTGGAGAATATTGAGTGAACCTCTCTATCTGATCACAATATAATTGTGTTTAAGTTAGAGAGCCCACATACCCAAGAAGGTGACCCTAAGGAGGAATCCTAGGAAAACAAAATTGGACAAATACAAAAACATTCTATAACAAAATTTAGCGCGTATCCAGACTAAAAAGGATTCTAAGCACCCACTAGCTCTAGAAAGGGATCTCGAAGTAAATGAGGCAATGAATTAAGCTGCCACGCATTTAAACAAATAGAACTAGCAGCCCGTTAGGTAGTGACCGATTCAGGTGCCCAATTTTCGCATACAAGCCTCGAAGAGGGTTGAAAAGTACATGGATGTTGAGTAGAATGAAAGAAAATTTACAGATGGCTCTTGTAAGTGGTTTTCTCGCTTCAGAGAAAACGGTCTGTACAAGTGACGCTCTCGGACGACTCTCGGGCAAAGGACTATTTAAACTGGTTCACTCCACAATCTTTCGAAGCAGCGTTGAAAGTACTCGGGCAGCTACAAATGGAGATAATAAATTCCAAAGGTCCAAGATTACCTATACACAATAAGAAACCCCAAGCAACGGGCTTTAATCGTTGTTTGTGCTTGCAGAGAATTACTCACTAGCTGAAAAATAAGGGAGAAATAAGCAAGGAAATTAGTACTACCTCAGTAATACGCCAGAATAACGTGATTTTAAAATAATTCAAAAATAAAATAAATTAAATAAATATCGCAACGCCCACCCTTGCAACTTGTAATGATTCACACCCTGAACAAATATTATGAAAAAGAACAGTCGGCATACCCTCAATCAGTCGTCAAAATTAAATTAATAAAAAAATAGTCACGATTCGGGGAAAATTAACGAAATAATTAATTATTGAAACAATTATACGGTAAGGTCCATATTTACGGCGGTTGGATTGAAATTTAGGTTTGATTATCTAGCTACGGAAGGGAGAAGAGATTGCCGTTGCAGATAGTACCTAACCCAAGGATGATCCAGCCATCATCACGTCTCTCTCTCGTCCAAGGAAATTATACTATTTGTAATTATTCAAAAGCTCGGATTTCGAATACAGAATTTAATAAAATAAAACTATTATCGCGGATAGCACCTAAACCAGGGATGATCCAGCCATCATCACGTTTCTTTCATCCCAGGAAACTATACTATTTGTAATTACTTAAAAGGGGTGATTCAAATACAGAAGTTAATAAAATAAAACCTGTATTTTACAACACCTTTAAAACGAATTTCCTAATTCAATCTAAATTATATTTAAATTCACGGTATGTAAAAATAAATAAATAAATCAGTTCGGAAAAACATAAAATATTTTACGAAATAATTTTAATTAATAATAATAATACTCTCCTTAATTCACCCCCTTACGAGTTAATTTTAGCCCCAAAAGCTGAGCTAGTCCGGGGAAAGGGACGGCTATTATTGTTATTATTTGCCGTGGCGCTCCGGGGCGACTTAAAGATGATTGATGGTGCTATTGGACTTACAGGTGAGGAAAACCCGGAAAACCTCACCCATTATCATATTGTAATACTAAAAAGATTTAATAATATTCAAACTAATATTTAACATCGGCATTAAATAAAGAAAACTAAATTAAAATTCGGAAGAAAGTAAAATATTTTCGAAAATATTAAATCTACAACTATAACTATTTAATAATATTCAATTTAATTCAATTCGGAGTTAAATAAAAAAAAAAACACAATCAAAATATGGAAAAAACTTAAATTATTTTACGCATGTATGTCCAGATCTGCTATAGCTTTGGATAAATCTTTCGCGAAGTATTATTTATTGAATATGAAATATAAAATGAAAAATGACTTCGTTACAAATACTCCCCCTCACTTCGGAAAGTAAAATAAAGGTGACCTTCGTTTACCTTTATTTTTGCCTTGCCGTCTACCTAATTATAACAAAATTACCAAAATTTATAAAAACAAAATATAATCTTCTCTTTCTTCGGTTCCGAAGTCAAAACCGTACCATCAGCGGACTCGGAACTACCATTGTCGGAAACATTGGATGACGACATTACAGCGTCGCGGATGCAAGTCTACCTGCACACCAATAGAGCGGTATCTCCCCCATCGCGTGGGGTCAGATTCGATCCGCACAGACAATCTCGGGACATGGTACCCACCAGTCCACATCGGGAGCAGCACAAAAGCTTCTTTCGGTCACAAGCAGTTCTATGATGAGCTGGGTATCCACAGCTCCAACACAGATCTTTGTCCACTGGCAAGAGGATCTTTCTTTGTTTAATCGGTACGGGTTCTAGTTTACGGGACTGTTCCGGAGTGGAGTTATAGTCTGTAACGGACAGCCTATGATACTAGTTTCTTCCTCATCGTCATCCTCATCACTGCTTTCACTGAGATTGGAATCTTTGGTTTCGTTCTTTGTTTTCGGCAACCCTGACTTGAAATCCATCGACTTCTTGCTTGTCGTTGGGTTTGCTGGACAAGTAGGAACAATACGGATGAGGGAACTCAGTGAAGTAGACTCTTTGTCCTTTTTGCTGTTGATCTCCCTCCTTTCAGGAGCATCCAGAACAGTCTGAGGGTCACGTTCGACATTAACCATAGCTCTGACAACTAAGGGTTTATTTATAACAGTCAGGGTCGGTTCAATGGGCGGTTCTTCAACTAGTCCTATTGGATAACAGGAAACGGCTATGTTTATAGGTGGCATCGGCATCTCACCTATTGAAATTTTTTCTGTTCCCAATTCTAGTCTGACATCGTATTTTTCTAGGATTCTTAAAACTAGGTCAGCACTTAATTATCCCCATAAGCCCCTCGTAAATTTTCTTTCATTCTACTCAAAATGGGTGCATGTACTTTTCAATTCTCTTCGAGTCTTGTCTGCGAAAATGTTGCCCCTCGTCCTGTCACTATCTGACGGTCTATAGTTGAGATGTTTCTTGGTGGAACAAGGCCAAGAACAGTGGAGACAAGCTATACCCAGGCATTTGCCACCTACATTACATTAATATCTTCCGGAAATTCTGCGAGGAGATTAATTCTATACCTGCGGTAGCGAGACTGGCAAAGTCCTGGGAAAATGGGATAGTTGAAACAAATGGAACCTTCACAGAGAGGAAGGAGGAAAGAGCTCCCCTCTTATTCGAAACTCACTTCTTATACAGTTGGTTCATAATCTCTAAGGTTATGACCACAGACACATCTCATCATTTCGTGATAAATAAAGCTAAACTTCTAAAGAAAATATAGGATAATTTAAGGTAAATTTGGTAAATTATGTGTTAACAAAACATTTAAAGTTTTAAAAACAACGACTGCACTGACGTTGTTATGATTACTTTGCTTCAATCAATCTATATAGTATCTTATCGAAATTATTTTTAAACGCTCATAATCCATACCTTAAGTGTGCCGATTAATTATAAAATCTCATACATGTTTTCTATTAATCTCGATAATCTATCCATTTCCAGTAAACACTTACCTGTAATCTGAGATCGCCGAGAGGCTGCGATATAGACAGGGAAGACGAACTTTGTGCATTGTCTAATTCCATATCTGAACCGGAGTTCGGCGAATGAAAAACACTGTCGTGGGACACGCTGAGTCCGGGGTGCATTGAAGAGGAACTTCTGAAAAATAGTGTGAAATAATGGCGTGAAATTTTAAGTTATTGACATGATTATATCGAAGCCGCCATATCGGTGAATAGGCGGTTGCATTTTGCGATTTTCGTGACTAAAATTTTTCGATATCTGTTGTATACAACACGTTTTATTAAGTACGGATACAGGGTCGGCAGGGTTACAATTTGTATTTGGTGTATACCATCATGTTGATTACAAGGTGTATCATTGAGCATTAAGAACACTCGGAACCTTAAGGAAATTATTCTCCAATTTCCGCGAGATTTGAATAATATGTGAATATTGTGAATACAATGTTATGTATTTTAATTAGATTAATACATTGATTATTAAATAAATATGAAATAATTATACTGTAAAAAAGAGTATCAAAAACCTATATTTTCATATCAATTTATGAATTGGAGTTTTGATGATTTTTAAAGATACCTGAATAGACGGAGACCATTAAAGTGAAGAAAAATGATATAACCAAACAAATATTTAAATTCGAATGTAAAGGATTGCGACCATACCTCGGGATAATGTCCGGCCGCCTTACTTCCAGGGCTATATGCTCAACTGGACATTGGACCGCCTTTTCTTTACAACAAACCCGTTAATTTGGTATTTAAATAGCTAACATTTCACGACCAGTCTCGCTCCATTTGGGGCTCATCAGGTGAGAAGTAGTCAGCCCTGAAGATAATTTGACTATACGAACCAAACATGAAAGTGTGTTACCACCCACATAAAGTTCAAACAGTCACGCCATCTTCGCTTAAATGCCCGATGTATGGTTCCAATAGTTACATTATCTTCAGAGTATATTAGAGATTCTACTCGAGCTAACTACTTCACACCTGATGAGTCCCAAATAGAACGAAACCGGTCGTGGAATGTTAGCTCATTAAATGCCAAATCAAAGGGATTGTTATGTAGAGAAAGACGGTCTAGAATACGTTTTATAACAAATTTTCATCTTCAATTTAAGAGCCACCGCGGTCGTCTATTTTAATTAATAAATATTGAAATATTACTCAATGAATACACAAATAAAAAACATATATCGGTGTAATTAAGACTATTTCTGAAATGGGGTTAAGAAACACAAACATTTTTAAGAACTTCCCAGCCATCCTTTTCAGTTACAGTTTTAGTTCGAATCCAAAATAACAAGAAATTCACAATCGTTACCAACAGCTTCTTTAAAAATCAGGATAACTGAAGGAAGTAAAGGAAGATCTAGGCAGAGCAGGAATGAATAATTGGCAAGAAAAAGTACAGGATAGAGTACTATCTAACAGACTGGAAAGAGGAAGAATCCCTGGGGAACACCTGAAGGGACTGGAAAAATATTGGACAATGAGTCACCCACACGGAATTGAAAATATCTACTAACAGGAAGTAGTCGATCCTTGTAAATAAAAAAAAGCATGTAAAATTCATAGAGCAGCATTTTGTCGATAAAACTTCCACATTTACGGGAATATTGTATTTTTAATTAATATATTTGCATATTTGTAGTTTAGCTGTGTCGACCGTGGTTAGTACTTCTATGATTGACCACACGAGAAATACCGTAATTAAAAGACAAACAGCTATGATAACATAACTCGCAGGTGCTGTATTGCTGAGTACGACACTGTGTCGGTAAAATATTGTGGCGGTAGAAGGCAAGCAATTTTTTTATCTTTTATCTTGTGGTACTTGGTATGGTTAGTTTGTCAGTGTAGTGTATTTCCAGCCAGTCAATCGGAAGTATGGTTTACGTGGGGGGCTGAGTGTTAATTTATTGAAAACTAATATTCTGGAGATTCCAAAACCGAAGGTAATCCAAAATTAGACTGTGCAGAAGGTCACTATTTTCAAAATACAAGTTGTTGTTACCATTGCAGAGAACGTAACGTGTACTACAATATGACCGCAACATCCAAAAAGTCCTTTTACAAGTTACGTAAATATATTATTTAAAACATTTAAAAAGCCATTGGGGCTTACGGCCAGAAAAAATAAAAAATGCAATTTCCTCGTTTTTATCTTAGGATAAAATTGGGAAAAATTATGTACTTTTTATGTTTATACTACGAAATTAGCTAAACAATAATAATAAAAATGTGTTTATATCATAATAAAACATCAACCATATTTTTGTGTCTTTTAATAATAAACTTATGTTAATTAATATGAAACAAATCATTTAAAACGGCTGCCGCGGGTGATCTACAGTCGGCTAACGATGTATCTCGTCCGTCGCTTTGTATATCCCATCTTAGTTGCATCCATGATTGTAAACGTATATCTATCTCTATCGCACTACAACACTAGCTCAGCTCATAATATTATCACCACAACGGACAACCAGTCTTTTTTTTTATAGATAAACTATTATATGTTTTATTTAAATATCCCAAATTGTACGAATCTAACTGAAACGGTTTATAGATTTCATAATTTTAAGCAAAAAGTTCATATTAACAGGTAACCAAGAAAAAAGTGGCGTGCAACTGAAAAATGTAATATTTTTATCAATTTTGAACCACCAGTAACTTTGCTACTAATGGAAATCGGACCATTGTTGATATGAACGTTTAAGCTTAAAATGATGAGATCTGTAACCTGTATCTGTTTTATATAATTTGGGTCACCCTGTATATATGACCCCTGTAAAGAGTAATTTTTTTTGTATTAAAGTACATTTTTCGCAATTTTTTCCTAAGATAAAACCGAGAAAAAAGCATTTTTGGGTCGTAAACCCCAATGGTTTTTTAAATGTTTAAAATAATACATTTACTTAACTTGTAAAGTGACTTTTGGGATTTTGCGGTCATATTGTAGTACACCTTACGCCAGACCTGCACAACATACGGCCCGCCATTGTCGTTTTGGCGGCCCATTGGCCGTTGATCAGTTTGGCCCGCATACGTCAAACTATACATTTTTCAGTAACAAACTTGCATTTAGGCTGACGACCTTTTTTATGACCTTTTTACGACCTTTTTTTTAGAAAAGATCGGCAGAATTATAACGTAAGGACCTTTTTTTTTTCAGAATCTGAACAGACCACTATAGGTTAGGTCTCCCTTGGGACTCGTACACTTACGGTTTCTCAAACTGGCCCTTTGAAAATTTGAGTTGTGCAGGCCTGCCTTACGCTCTATGCAATGGTACCAATATCTCGTTTTTTGAAAATAATGCCCTTCTGCACAGTCTAATTTTGGATTAACTTCAGTTTTAGAATCTCCAAAACATTAGTTTTCAATTCACTAACAATTTAGCTAATGTCAGTCAGTCCTATGAATAGTCAGTCCCCTACAGAATTTATTTCTAGAGCGATTTTGTTAAAAATAGCACCATACTACTGTAATAATATTGCTATTTTTTTGTTAATAAAATGAAGATTCGTTTAATTGTACCATTTTAAACAATTAGTTTATATTTTAAATTACCGTTTTTTTTACTCTTTTAATAAAGGTTTATTTTATTATTTATTTTAACAAAACAACTACATATTATGTCAATAATTTAGTCATTTTTAGAATGTTTCTAAATACGTGGAAATTATTAATTTTATAAAAACTACAAATTTATTACATACCCTTATAAAGAATTATCTTCGAATTCCATACGAGAACAACAAACAAAACTATAAACATCACATCTCTAACGTAGGTGAGTACTAATTTCTCATGACGATAACCAAGTAATTAAATGAGTTATCTGATATGCAATATTATCTTTGAGAAAAGATTACATTTTATTTTTTCTTAACCTTCTATATCTACTGTATGTATATACCTAATCACATATTGAATGTATTAAATTACTTAAAAGTAAGTATTATTTATCTAAAATTAATAGAATCTGCAAAATAAGCGAAGGATTTAAAATCAGGGAACCCCTGACCTTAGCAGCGTTTTTAAGAGTTCCTCCAAGTATTTATCATTAATAGAAATAAATTCATTTTAATTGATAATATATTTTACATTTTTGGATATAAGTGTTTAAATTGATAGCGGCAATGCACTTTTTAAATAAATAGCAAAATAAGTCGGAATAATCTATTACTTTGAGTTAAAAGTCAGAAAATCTATTTTTTCTGAGTTTTAAATCGGAAAAATAAAGCATATTATGTACCAAGGGATTAAAGTGCTCCGCTCGGGCAACAATCACTCGAGGGATTAAAACGCACTTTAGTCTCGTGGTACATCCGCTATTTTTTGTACCGCAGGGACTAAAACTTAAAAGCTTAAATAAGTAAAACCAAATTGGGTAGATTTTCACAAAACTTTTATTTAAAAAAAAAAATAAAAAAATTAAAAACACTACACATGACATGTTTCGAAGTACAACTTCTTTTTCAAATGTGACTAATTTATAATTCGGTGTCCAATATATATGCGAGGTAATTTAACTAAACAAAGTAATTAAGAAAATACATCAATAACATAACAAAATAAACTGACTATTTAAAGTAAATAAGGGTATTTAAGTAATTATGGTATCAATCAGATAGCAATAAGATAGTAACAATACCGGGATTATCTCACAGAAAACTAGGAAAGAGATTTAATAAAGGTGAGTTATTAATATCTAATTGAAACATGTCATGTGTAGTGTTTTTAATTTTTTAATTTTTATTTTTTTTTTTAATAAAAGTTTTGTGAAAATCTAACAAATTTGGTTTTACTTATTTAAGCTAACATGGATTTTCATCAAGTAAAGGCCGAAACAATACATAATTTAAAACTTAGAAATTTACACGATAATTATGTGAAAAGAAACACTCAATATTATTTCATAACATTTATTTAATCGATTACTTAATGATTATAAAAAGTTATTGAAAAAGAAAAAAAAAGAATATTTAAAAAAACTAACCTGTCAGGGGTTTGAACCTGGGTCCTCTGCTTACAAGGCAGGCGTTCTGCCGTTGCGCCACACTGCATACTAAGATTATTGCAGAATTTTGCTAAAGTATAGGACTTACGTAAACGTGTAATGATAAAAAAAAGTATGTGCTTAAGACCGCACAACAGAAGTGAGAACCTTTACTATTTTCGTGAAAATCGATAAATTTATTGGCTTATAAAAAAGGGTTTGGTATATTATTACCTCCCGAATAAAGTAGTTTGCTAAGGTTTTCTATTGGTTTTGTTATTTGCGAGACTAATTTTTTTTTAATTCCTTGGGGATATTTTAGTCCCTCGGGAGTTAAAGTAGCACTTCAGTCCCTAAAATGATGGAGTAAAATGCATGTTTTAGTCGCTAAGGTACAAAAAATACTTTGTCATACTACTTAGTTAATTATTGTGTACTTATTGCCTAGTTACCAATTACCTAAAGTGCGGGCATAAAGTTCACTTTATGGCCCGTGAGGGCACAAAGACAAATAACAGTTTTTTTTTTAACTTAACTAATTTGTTAATATTCAATTAGAATTATTTAGTCGATTTAACATAAAATTGACAATTCTCAAAGGATCCAGTGATTGTTAGATTACCTGCAGCCTGCAGCAAACAAGTTTCTGTACGGAAAAACCAGTTCCAGAACTTACGTCTGCTAGCATTATTGACACTTAATTTTTATAAGATATACTGTCCTCTAAATATCCTTCAGCAACCGAGGTACTCTTCCATTCACCATGGCGCTTCAACGTGGTGTCATACTGGCCCCAGCCTCTGCAAGAAGGCTTGCCGATGTACGACGCATACAATGACCTTGTTAGAATCATACAAACCCAGATATTTCGCAATAATGGACGGGGTTTTTCCAAACGTGTTTTCCAACTGGTGGCACAGTACATTTATCTTGTCTATAGGTCAGAAAAGATGAGGTTTTTATGAGTCAAGGTAGAATAATAAGAAACTTGGTACAGAATAATATTCGCTTTAAAAGAGCTCCCATTGGTACGCTGTTAATAAGACTTCCTGTGAATTTTGTTCATGGACACCTTTCTAAATGGAGACTAGGATAAATATTCTTTACTGACGAGTCCAGATTTTCTATTTTTTTTTTATAATAAAAAACTAAAATAAAATCGTCCACAATCTCATTTGAATTGGTTTTTATAAATACAGGTTCATTATTAAGCGCAATGAATTTGAATTTAACGTCATCAACAAACTTCTTGGCTTACCTCCTTCGTCCTTCTTCGGTGACGGAAAGCTCGCTGGTAGACCTGCTACGAAGCGCATCTTTCCCGATTTCGGTAACTTCCACGACAACGACATCGTCTCCGCTGGCCTTGTTCTTCCTCTTAAACCACTTCCTCGGATTCCAAAACTTTCGCTTAGACGCCACTGGAATAAAAAAAAACAATTTAAAAAAAATATTCGATTGTACATAGATATGTAACATTATAGAGTAGAAAGTATTAATTACAAAGAAATAATCGCATAGCCCAGTGCACCGATTTTGGCCTGGAATAATATGCGTCACACTTTCAACAGTTTTATCTTACTCATACAAACACAGTCTACTTCTATGCTTGAACGAATATGTTATTACAAAAAGGAATATATGTTAGATAGCATGCCTAGTTAATACTATGGATTTACCAAGTGTGAAAATCAGCAAGGTGTATTGTTTTGTTGTTTTAAGTTTTGTTTTTGATTATATGAGATATATCATGGACCTATAATAAACGTTCATTTGAATAATTATTATATTTTTCTACACCCTTATTATAATAATGCACTCATATGACCATAATCCGTTTCATAATGATAGCCATTATGATACAGATTTTTCATAACGATACAGATTTTTAATCAATAGAAACTCATAATTTTTCAATCAAGCATGCTGTGCATTTGACGTTTGTCCTAGGTTCCTATGTAATTGTTTTAGTTGTCAAAATCAGTACGTATTAAATTTTCCATAATTATATTATCAAAATGTCTGATATCAGCGATATAGAAAACTTACCATCGACTCCTCCACACATATCGGAGAAAGCAGAAAATGTAGTACAAAATATGTTGCCCCAAAAATTTATGGTAATACCAATACCCGAGGGAATACCATTAATTACAATTTTGTAGAATTTTTTATATGTAGAAATACGAGTAATTACTGTTATTGTGTTCAATACAAATATAAATATAATATCAATAGTTCTTGATTATTTATCGGGTGTAGAAAAAATAGCGTATGCAACTCTTATGTAATGGTTATTAATACACTCGCATAAACCATACGAAACTCGCCATCGGCTAGTTTCCTATCCCGGTTAATGCTCGTGTATTAATAACCATCATTACATGATCGTTGCATAATATACTATTTCCGTCGACTGACCATTTATGATGTATTTTAACGCACTCCAAATCGTTGATTAATGACCCCTATTAATGAATGATTGTCTATTAATCAACGATTTTATTATATGCAACCCAACGTACATTGCTATTATTATACATTTATATCGACAGTTACCTATGGTGTAGGCAACCAAACATACATATACATTTGAAATCAAGGTATGTTAATAATATCTGTCATTATATGTCATTATTTCATTTCTTAAAAGTAAGATATTTATTTTTGAAAAGTACGGTCGACGGAAAAGTTCTGTAACGAACTCGCGAATTAAAATGGCGATTAACAATCTCGAACATTAACGCGATCGCTCTGCTCGCGCGTAAAATTATCTCGATTGTTAATCGCCCTTATTAATACACTTTTTCGTTAAGTAACTATTAAAACTACACAAGTCAAAAATTACGTTGACCAAGGAAAGTGAAAATGTAAAGGCTTAGTGGTTTTGGAAAACTATTGTGTCCAAAGAACTAATGAAAGCAAATTCTGGTGAGCCATTTGAAATATTTTATGCATATTTAAAACATAATATCAAAGTGCAGCTTTGGAAACCAATAAGAAAAACTGCTTCAGATAGCTCTGAGTATAAATTACAAAAACTAGTTGTTTATTTCAAAATGGAAATCAATATATAGTAGATTGTGTATTCCTACCAATTTTGTAACTGATAAAGTACCCAACAGTTTTGAATTCCGCCCGTTTGCTAAAACAACATCCAGCCTACATTGTCATCAATCAAATCCCCGAGGTACCCCCTTTCAAACAAAAATTGAATCCCAGAAATCGGACAACGTGGTAAAGAATTATCGCTAAATATACATAAAAAATGAAGAATTTGATGATTTTGTCATGGATGTCATTATTAGATCTTGACCAAATTTATATGAAATTACCCCTGAGATACCCATTTTCTAAAAAAAAAAAAGAATCATCGAATCGGGCAACGTGGTAAAGAATTATCGCTGAACATACAAAACATTTCGACGAATTGAGAACCTCCTCCTTTCGGTTAATAATTATCAAGCCTCGTATTTAGTATAAAGTAGAACAAACCGAGTGATGAATTTTAGTCGCTTAGAAACAAGTCAGTAATTCAGTGATTAGGTCTTTTTATCAGTGCTCAATTTTTTTCTATTTCAGAATATTTAGTTGTAAAAACCAGTGGGGTAGGTGGTTGGTATACAGTGTGTCTACTTAAGTTGGAACCATATGGAAAACATTTTTATTATTGATTTTAGGAAAAAAAGTTATTCTTGATAAAAAGTCCTGCATGACCCAAAACTTAAAATACAGTCATCAGATATCAAATTTTTCAAGCCGTATACGAGGTTTGTCAAAAAATATGAATTTTTTTTTATTTTTTTACAAAATCGAAAATTTTCATTAAGAAATTTGCTAAATTCTTCACAAACATCAACAAAAGGAAAGCGTATCATGTTTATAGTAGCTAACGTAATTTATAACGTTTTCAGATATTTACAATCAATGTGTAGAGTGTAGAGTTTATATAAAATAAGAAAATCCGTTTTTTCAGATAGATCGGTGTAATTGCATATTTGAATGTAATATTCAATTCTAATCAACTTTTCTTAATGAAAATTTTCGATTTTGTCAAAAATAAACGTACTTTACTTTTGAGCAAAATTCATATTTTTTGACAAACCTCGTATACGGCTTGAAAAATTTGATATGTGATGACTGTATTTTAGGTTTTGGGTCATGCAGGACTTTTTATCAAGAATAACTTTTTTTCCTAAAATCAATAATAAAAATGTTTTCCATATGGTTCCAACTTAAGTAGACACACTGTATAAAGAGTTGTAATTTAGTCTCGGAGATTATTGCTTTTGGTGGTTCGTGTGATAAAACTGCATCAATACCAAATAACGCTTGCAATGTATCTTACAGAATCTCGAAATGTAAGAAGCCTCCTACAATCGCAAAACTTATTCTACCGGCTGCTGTAGATATGTAGAACATCATAGTTGGCAAGTGTGTTGGGAAGCGCTTTTAAAAGTGTCTGTTTACAATATAATTAACCGGAATACAACAGTATGGCTGATGATTTCAGCTATCAATTAATTGAAAAAATTACCGATGTGGAACTTGGATTGCAGCTAGTTGGAGGCTACGGATAATAATAAAGATGCTCATTTGATATGCTTTGTATGGTTCATAGGTGGTAATAATAATAAAAAAGACCTTCTATTTTGTAAAAATATCACTACAGGAACGAAGTTTCAGGATCTGTTCGAGATTCTTTGTAACATTCATATCTGAAAATAATTTAAACTGCCCTAACAGCGTTGGTGTCTGCACTGATGGAGTTCACTCCAGGCATAGCTGATATGGAGGATTGAAGTTACTTATTCTAGTATGGACCCATTGCATTATTACTTATAGAGAAGCGCTTGCGTCTAGGCATCTGAGTCCTGCACCGAATCAGGTGTCAGTAGGCCATAAAAAAAAACAAACGTATCTCGGAGTTTACAATTCTTATTTTTATGTGATAGTTGTGATTTTATTTAAAGGCTTGGAATTGTTAAGATATGACTCGTATCTGTCTTTTGTCGGTCATCACCTACTTAAGAAAAAATTTTTGAGGATCGCACCTTAGAAGCAATATTAACAAAACCTTAAAATACGTGAACCTGCAAAACAGCAACATTTTACAAATTCAGACTTATCAAAGCACAATCTGATGCCATCGAGAAATTAATATTTTTAAATTTTATTGTAATGTATGTTTTGACTTTTTTTATTAACTTAAAGTGTTTTACCGCATTTGCATATATGCAACCAAAAATGTTGTTTTTTTAATTATTAGAACTAGATTTATAAACCGTCTAATTACAATGTTTGATGCAAAATTAACTAGAGCAGAAAACAAATGTAAATTTCATTTATTTCTATAAATAATGGTTATATGTATAAGGTGGATTTTCATAATGAATTGCAAGTAAAGTAGGTAACGGCATAATTTATGAATATTAAAAAAAGTGACAATTTTATAATAAATATTAAAAATGTTACGTAAAAAATATATTTTAATGAAAGAGATATCAAAAGAGCATACGAAATTTAAAAAATATTCATGGTACTTATGTAAGGGTCTCTTGACTTGACTTGATTTTTTTTTTTAACCTAAATATTAATTTCGAGCAACAGTTATTAGGTATGTGTATGTTAGGTCATTGTTTCAAGAACGTTTTACGAATTTCAGTACGTACTTTAGAGAGTTTACAAATTGTTAGTAATATTAAATTAATTTACAAAAAATCAGCAAAAGGCAGTAATAAAATTGATCCCATACAGAAAAAAACTAGTCATAAGAACATGAATTGACTTGTGAAAATAAACTTATTAATGGCCAGCCATTCACGCTACGGTCTACCGGAGAGGCTTGTCTATGCAGGTGTACCTGTATATGTAGACCGGAGCGTGTATTGGAATATTTGGAATAGACCTGTGCAGTTTTTTGAACCTGCTACGTACATGTGATCGACTTGCGCAGACCGCAGCGTGTATGCCCGCCATAACACTGTTGTTTCAGTACACCAAAATCATATTTGAATTGATTAATTATCTCTTTACAGGGAGGTTTCTAAAAAATAGCAATTTTTGTTGTATATTTCAACTTTATATAACTTTTTTTCTACCTGTTTGATGTGATATCCGAGGTATATATTTTTGTGGATGTAAAGTTGTACTTGTTTGGGACTCATTACGTTATACATGGTATATTGTAAAATGGTGACACTTACTGAACCAATATTTTTGTTGACTCCGTATACATGTATTTTTTAGAATAATAAAGTGTCGCTTACACACTTACATAACCGTATATAAATAATCCATTTTATAATTATTATTTTAAGCGTTAAACGATTTTTTTAAATATGCAGTTTTTCTACTTTAATTTAAAAAATTTATCATCCTATATAGTTCTTTTCCGAAGGCAGTCACAAAAATCTTATAG